CTTCACTGGGTGACTTCACTTGTCTTTCTGAGGTGGAAAATCTTCCTCCATCATGGTCAGTGAGTGGGGAGGGGATGCCAGCACGGTGGCAGGTCCTCTGTGCCACTCTCAGGATGACCTCCCTCCACTCTCATGCGCCACTAACTCCCACCTGAGCCTTGCAGGTGGCAGAAATGGGAATTGGTTAACTACCAGTAGTTTATGCACTCCAGTATGACCTGCTATAACTCCCATTAAAGCAGGACAATTTGCTACAGAGAGAACTTTTTATGATTATATAAAACTACCGGCACCTTAACATTATTTAGGTTTTATTGTAAAGCTGTAAAAATCATCCACTGTTACAGCTGCTTTAAAACATATGAATTAGGCATTTCAGTAACCTTTAAGATGTGTTATTCTTTGTCATATTACTGAATCATAAGATAGGTCTGCTTACCTCTAAGAGGTTTAAATTTCCAATCTATTAAAGTAACACCGGCAATCTGTTATTTCTAGGCCATTGAGGAAAGGTTAAAATGAAAATTGGACTTCAGGGAGTTTCTCCTATTCTAAGTGCAGGTTGAAAATATCTCAGCAGCAGAAGGCAAAGTCAGGGTCTCAGTAAGAAGCAGTTATCAAGGGAAATGACTGGTGATAACTTTATTGATTAAAGCAGCTTGAGAAATGTAAGACTCGCCACTGTCTAGCGTTACTGTGGTGAGACAGCTGTATTAAAAAGGTATTTTTCATTAGAAGTGAGGTGAAAGAAAATTGTAGTATGTTTTCAAAAGCACAGCTCATCTAAAATGGTCTAATGATGGTATGGATTAAACGCATTCCACAGGTGGAATAAATTATTGGCAAACATTTTATAAAAGTAAAGGCAAGTAAAACCAGTCCTTGTCATTTCAAACGCAGAGCAGTATAGCTCATTCAGGAGACAGATCAAAATGTAATACGGTACACTGCTAAGGAAGTTATTGAACTGAATATACTGAGTTCTTATTATTATGTACGACAAACTAAAACAACCTGCAAATCCTTCTCAAAAGAACATTAAAGTTGCAAAGTCAAGCACTCAAAAGTTGGGAAAACATGTTAGAATTAAGGTAGTTTGTTCCTCCTACGCATGTGCATCATGATCCAGGTTTTAACTCCAGCAGCACAGGATATTTTTTCCATAGTCGAAAGCATGGAGCAACTGCTGCTGTTATGCGGTGGTGTCTACTGCGCTCCTCCTTGGTTAGGCACACACTCCCTTCACCTCCAATCTCTCTGAATACAAAAAAATATACCTATAGACTAGGCATATGACTACAACGAGCTGATGGCATTTAACACTAGAAACTATATGGAAATAAAAAGTCTCTGTCAAAATATAAAGTTAGTCACTAGTGGCACTACGGCAAAGAGCAGAGAATGAATACCTAATCTCTGCTGGGGACAATTACTGCTTTTCTGTACCCAAACCAAATCCTTCTGAAGTTGATGGGAACCACTCACCCAATGGGACCATTTTTGCCAGGTTGGTGATGCATTAAATCAGATTTGTTTCCGGGGCAAACTTTTTGAGAGAGGAGTTCTGGTGTCCTGTCACATCCCTGCAATGATACCAGGGGCTGGCACGGCCTTGACATACTGCAAAAAACAGCATTTGAGGACCACCGCACTGTCCTGCCTATGGAAAAGGCAATGCCACTACACAAGGATAGAAAACCCAAAAAGAGCAGGAAGGAAACACACACCTTCATGCATATGGTTTACACAATAGTATGCAAGGGCTGAGCTTGGTGGTTGTTTTATTTTTTTTCCTTGATTCTTTTTTCCGGCTACTTTTTCTTCAAATGCCACACTGTGTCTGGAATGGATTTTTTGGTTTGTTGGGTGGATGAATGGATTGAATAATTGTCGTGGTTGTACCTGGGATATTATGTTCAAGCTGAGCTATCTTGTCACTGGGAAGATATTGACAAACTGGAGTACAGAAAAGAGCACAGCAGCGGGTTAGCATACAGAGGGACTGAATCACAAGGGAAGCTGCTGAGAGCTAAACACACGGTTTTAGTAAGAGACAACTACTGTAATGATAACAAGTCTGGAAGTAACTGGAGGGAGAAAACATCCAGGAAGGCAAGCAGTTATTTTGGTTGTTAACTGGAGTAAAACAAGAAATAAGGAGACGCAGTTTAAAAGGGAAGCATCCCGAAGAATCCCAAAGGAAGCTGCCTGCCCATGAGACCTACTTGGCTGTGAACGCTGTCCCTAGGGTGCTTACAGAAGCCCAGTTGTTTGGCTCACTGAAAACTGCTCTGGACAAAACACTAATAAACGTGAAGCAAGGGGAAGAAGATGGATTAGATGGCCTACTAGGTCTTTTCCATCTCCCCACTCTATAATAAAGCAAAACCCAAGCACACACTGAATTACAGGGCCATAATTCCATCTCCAGGCTCTAGGGACCTACAAGCCACCCAAACTTCACTCCTGTTGTTTATAATGTCACCAAAACACCCTGATGGAATTATTACGTTGTAATTCACTGCTGTCTGTGACTCATCTCATACTCATCCTTATGTCCTGTGTGACATAACAACAAATCAATAAATAAGATCTGGGCACAACTACAGAGAGGGAAAAAAACATGGGCTGTAGTAAGCAAGCAGGGAGCATCACACACTCAGCGTGTTTCTGGAAAGTGTCATGAAGAGGAGGCTGGGGAAAGAGGTTTTGGGTCACTCAAGTTCTTCCCATTCAGCTAAATTAGAAAATATTTTACTTTTGCCTTTCCCTTTTACTAAAAAAAGATAGTCAGTGTGACACCAAAGGAAATAAATAACATTTTATCTGCAATTCCACCATTCTGCAGCCTCCAGTCGCCAAGCAGACTGCCAGGCACTGGGGCACCTCTCATCCTGTAAGGTACAACATCTTCCATAACTCCTTGGGAAACCGAACTTTTATTCTTTTGTATTGTTTTCTTTAGCCTCCAAATAAAGGTATTTCACAACAGCAGCGCGTGGTCTTTTGAACTATATGGTTTGGGAGGAAGGTTAATAAGAAAGCACGACACAAGACTACAATTAGAAGGAGAAACCGCAGCAGGAGCGGAGGGATGGATGGAAGACGCTAATTGAGTAGAGGTATGGACAGCACAAGTCAGAGCTAAGAGAAACAGACAAAAAGCAATGAAAATACAAAGAGCAGGCAGCCAAAAAGAACCCTCAAAACACAGTAAAAATAATGTCATGTCTTTCAGGAGGGTAGGGGCAGAAGAAATCCAACAGGTTCCCCGCCTACTAACCCTCTTGGTTGTCAGTCCTCTTTTGTCTACTTCACAATATTGATAGAAAGGGTAAACATTTTTTTCCTCCAAAACATTTTAAAAAAATAATTCCTAGGAAGATCCTGTTTCTCTCCATCATACATAACACATTGGGTTTGGAAAAAAATATCTGCATATCCACCCAAAGTTTACCAAGTCCTCCTGGCTACATTCTCTTCAACCTCTTCTATAACGTCCCGTGAAAGACAGCAAACCAGAAAAAAATGCATCCATGGGCATAACCATAAGGTACAGCCAGTGGTCACAGCATCAGAAACCTTACCTGCTCTGGTGGAACTCCCATTTCTGCTAAGGCTGACTCGAAAAACATTTTTGCTGGCTTTCCCACTACCTCAGCTTGGACATCACAAGCATACTGGAAAAAAAGAAGAGAGAGAGGCACATAAAAAATGCTGATGTGAAAAGGATTTCTTCAACTCCATCACTCCGGTCAATTGTATAAGAAGTATGTGATCATTGATTTTTGCCCTTAAATAACACAATGGATTAGCGGGTGAAGGTGAATATCGAAGAATTTGGAATTTCTGTCTGGCAGGAGAGAAAGTCCTCCTGAAACATCTCAAGTTACAAACCTGTCACATTCACCATCACAAGAGCAGTCTTCAGACTCAAGTTCCAGTATCACTCATTTTTGTAAGAGCATCGCTCTTAAAGAAATAGCAAATACCCTTCATATGAAATTATCAAAAGTACTGGAGAGCCTTAAAAGATGTAGAGGGTTTCTTCACCCACTTGGCGTATTAGTAATGATTCAAGTGACTAGCCACATTTGAAAAGTGTAATTTTCCTGCAACTAAATATTAGTACTATGCTGAAAAGGTGTTTCTAGCTTGTTCCTAGACTCCTCGAAGCCTGAACTTATCTGGGAGGCAAAACCCTTCCCTGAAGCTCACACAGATACAAGAGAATGTGCTGCAAGCATATGTTATATCCACTGTCTTCTGCACTTGTATACTACCCTGATTTGCTTCATTCTCCGCAATCACTGTGTATTTTTTTATCTCTCTGCAAGCCTATAAAAGTAAGAATAACTCTTCTCTCACCCTTAGGTGGCTTATCTTAATCACACAGAACTTAATCAGGCTTAAAAACAAGATTGCACCTAGGTCTCTTGCTGAATAAGGGCCTTCTCCTGTGCAGTGTTAATGGCAAGAGCTGTGTTAACAATGCTACACCAAACATAAAACGGACCTTCAGTTTCTCTTGAGTATCTTGCAGACAATATTCCATGTTTTTCTTTTCTGACTCCTTCTTTCAAGGGCCTCACTTGCAATAAAGGTACCACAATGGCAAAAGTTCACTTTTTAAATACAGAAAAAAAATGAACAAAGAAAAAAAATTAATCCACTCATCTTTCGAATGCAGCAGATGAGTATCAATCTGTGGAAACTTCCTCCACCAAGGTGAGTAATTACAGAAGATGACCCATATTTATACCAGTTACACTTTTAACAAGGTGCACAGAGCAAGTAAGCATAATGCAAGCTATAAAATACCTCTAATGCCTTCATATATGCTCCAACATCAAGTTTCAGACCATCGGTTTCTTTATAGTAGCGTCTGGAAATGAAAGCGATAAAGTTCCAATGAAATGGCAGTTAAATACAAAGAAACCACATTTTATTATTTCTGGGCCCATACAGATGTCCATATGGCTGCAACAAAAAGTCAAGTCATCAGAAACTCCGGAGCCTTAATTTAACACCAGGAATTAAGTAAAGGACAGGCTCAGCATCGTGCAACGCCGGGAAAAAGATCTCAGAGCGGATGCCCATCTGGCATCTGGGACGCAACTCCGCTGGTTCAAAGGGATTTCTTGAGCTTTTATCAGGGATGAACTTGGCCTGCATTTTATTGCACAGAGTACTAGCTGCTTGCAAAGAACAGCAGTTAAATTGCTCCTCCTTTATTCAGTGACCCTTTGTAGATACGAGATGAGGGCTGGCACCAACCAGCAGCTGTAACACATTCTTTGGTGTATCTGGAAGGGGAACTCAAACAGTTGACCATCACTGCTTGCCACCAGCCTCCTCTACGATGAAAGCCAGGACACTGTTTATCAGGACTAAGAAAGCCCTCCAAGCTAAATTTTGTTCCTTTGAAAATGTTCCTATTGCCACGGAGCTCATGAAATTAGTATTTTTACAGGGTTTTTCTGGAAAAGCAATTCACACTAATGCAGGTCTTCCGAGCCCTCCTGATCAGAGCAAAGACAGGTTTCTATATGACAGGAAAAAAAAAAGGTGGGATGAGCAGTCAGTTAAGATTTTATGCCTTATTCTTCTGCCATTTTCGATTATTCAGCACAGCCTCCCTTTAAAATGACCACTTGACCTTTGCTAGAACAGCCATTAACCTTCTATAGTCTAGCACAAACAGCTTAATTTTCTGACAGTGGCATGACAGAAGAAATTACAAAGCCAATTCCCACTCTCAGCCCAAAACAGATGCTAAATGTAAATCACTCCATTTTCAGGAAGAGGCCATTCTGCTTCAGTGACTCTGACACTTTCCTTTTCCATGGAATGAACTAAAACTTCAACCAAAATCAACCTACCTCCCCAAGGCAGGCCCCCTGTTAAGGTCCATCCAATTGCACTGATTCTGCACGTTAAAAACGAAGCTGGCTTGTAGCTGGTTTCACCCTTCTGAGAAACAGTAAAGGGTTTTCAACTACATTGTAGGATCAGAGCGTGAGTGTCAGGTATGGCAACACAACAAGATTTAACTGCTCCTTCCCACTGGTAAGTTTTACCCGGCTGGATCAATAACGCACCAACTAAGAAGGGTTTTCATGCCCATTACAGTCTGTTGAACCACTGAAAAAAGTTGTCACTACAGTTTCCTCGAGCTAAACATGCGTAGTCTTTTTTAAGCCCGTACATGGCACAACAGATAAGAATAACTCCTTCAAGGCCGTTGGGATTTGTCATTATTCAGTGCTGGCATTAATAACCTCCTGTTTAAAATCTCAGAATACATCTAACTGAACTGTTTTTAGGAAACATTCAAATCCCCTGGCAGGATTTTTCCTGCATATGAAAAGAGGAGGTTAAAATTCACCTTGAATGTTCAGAGAATAATTAAAAATATCTTTTGATATTCAAACTACCAAAACAATTGATCTAACAGTTCAAAAACACAGGTGCTTTTGCAGGTCTTCATCATACACACCAGCCCAATGATTTCTCATATATCCTCGGGCTCTCCCCTTAGGTCTTCTTGGCCACCACACTTTGCTCACAGCTAGAGGAACATCTACCTCCATCCCCAACATAGTTCCAGTGGAGTTTGTACATTTTAGAGTTTCTATACTAGCAACTAAAACCTCCCTTGGCTTCTTATTCCTCATATATAGCAATCCTCAAGCCACCAGCATGGAAGTGCTCCTGTAGCTACGCCATTTTCACACATACGAATCAACCTGTAGAGATGCTAACACCAACCTTCAGAGACAGCATCTTTAGGTACCGCTCAAACAGTAAGGAGTCATTTATGTCACACAGGCCATTAGCCACATCCACTATCATATCCCAACCATTACAAATGTGGGCAGGATTTGAACCTGGAAAAAGAAACCTGGCTGACTGTTGGCTGAAACACGGAATTTTTGAATCACCTGATCCTCCTCACCATTAGTAACTTTAGGATGCTGGAAAATCAAACTGCATCCCAAATCCACACCAACAGCCCTTGGCCTGTTGGGTTCTTTGGTTTGTTTTGGGTTTCTTTCACTATTAAAAATAATTTCTTTTCAGTTCAGACAGGAACACACAGTTACAGGCAGTAGATAAACCAACAGTTCTCATCTCAGAGATCTTCAGAAGCAAAGACAAAAAGACAAGCAGTGCCTGTAACCCTACAGGCCTCTTGCAATACTCACTCACTTGGGGGACCCACACATCAAAATCCAAACTCTCCATGATTTCTGTGGGGTTTTTAAGAGGCTCTCAGACTTGCTCTTAAAGCAAGAAAAGTCCTTTTCCAGGTGGCTTACAAAACTACAGCTATTTAAACCTCCCACTGCCACTCGCAAGTGTGGATCATCAAGGTCCAGCTCACTCTTGAACGCTGACTTTGAAGAGTTGGAGACTGGCATTTGCTGTGCTTACACACCAGGGCATCTCCAGGTTCTCTACAAGCTGCTACAAATCCTCCTCAGAAGAGCAGCTGTATCTCTCACCCTCTAGAACTCAAGGAAAAACATCCACACAACTGCTCACTCTGCACTGTCTACAGAAAAAAGACTCACAGATGAAGCTCAGGAGATGCCTCATCCAGGCTGTAGCAGCACAGAAACCCAACCGATGAGTATTTTCAAAGTCAGCTGGAGGATTCAGCATGGCACGTTCAGTGACTGCCAGTCCCCTTAGCAAATCTGCATCAGCACAGGACTGAACTGGGTGGGGCTCCTCAGGAGCATCTGTATCGCCTTCTTTTAGAGACCTACTTCAGCGTAATCGCCTGTTTTCCCCTTATACCCCTAGAAAGACCACAAGTGAGTGACTCAGGACAGGAGGCCACATTAGGTGACTGAATTGAGGGTAATTCATTTACAGATACCTGAGAAGATCAGCCTCCCAGTCCCGACACAGTTTAACTGCTTAAAAGTTGGTAGTGTGAATGCCCACGTTGATATCTGGCTTCCATTAAGTACAAAGATACTGGGGGAAACTGAAAAATATAAAGACTAGAGGAAGAAACAAACAGTGCTTAACTCACCCTCTTCCAAGGGAGATCAAAACAGGCTTCTCCAATCCAATCAGAACTCGGAAGGCTTCATTAAGGTTTGCATAGGTGAAGTTTTCTGCTGCATCTCCGATAACCACGCAGTTTGGGTTTGCTTTATCGATCTCATCAAATTCAGGGACAAGATCTACAGAAGGAGGAAAAAAAAATTAAATCCACAAATCCCTTACCCTTTCAGATCCCATTGGAACTGATATTTTTCCCCAGATTTGTGTTTCCCTTCATTCATTCTCCAACACATTAAAAAAAAATAATCCGAGTCTGAATCAACTGTTCTCCAGACCCCTTCTATTCCTGCCAGGATCCTGCTATTCATCTGTCCTACACCGAAGGGCAAAATGAACCAATTCCTACCCTCGCCTTACGTCACCTCCCGCTACCCACGTCTCAGTTCTATCTCAGCCTGTTATACCCAGGCACCTAGACCCGAGGCAAACTCCAGGGTAATTGAATTAAACTGTGTAATAGCAAGGGCAGGATCACCTGCTTTCTCTGCGTCCACTCTACAGAAGAAAACACTTTAAACTTAAAACCTCTGCCGTGATAACAAAGGCAATGTAATGTCCTGTGAAAGACCTCACCTATCTCCTGGTCTCTGCGGTTAAGCAGCAGACTCTGTGCACTTGCTGATCCGCAGCACAACTTGGTGCCTTCCCTGTACCACTCACTAAGATCTTGCCCAGGCCAGACCACTAAGGTTTATTTCCAAGCCTCAAGACTAAAGAAAAAGCTTTTCCCACTAGGAAAATAACAGCTGGGAGCTCTTTTCCCCATGAGTTATGGGAATTCACTGCTCTATCACAAACACCCACATCTCTCTGGGCTGTCCCCACCCCCCCCGTGTCCCAGCATCTCCTGCAGCGTTGTCCCACCGTTGTGCACGAGCAAGTGTGGCCTCAGGCTGCGCTCCTTTAAAATGCGGCACGCTGCTGGGGCTGGCGCAGTGACTTCGGCCACGGAGATGTCAAAGCCCATGCCCTGGAGCTTCTTCACAAACTTCTCCCGGGTCGCTTGGGTTTCGTTAGTGCAGAATCGCAGCTTCAGACCAGATGCTTTGATCCTGTTGAGCAGAAGCGACAGAGGGGTTAAGCAGACATAGAAAAGGAGCTAACAGTATCAAGCTTTGCTGTCCCACACCTAACCTGGATAATTACAATAAAAACGCAAAGAGGAAATGCCAGAACAGGAGCAGGATCCCTTACAATGGCCAAGACATGCCCAAAAGATATCGATTCTGGGCACTACAGCCACAATTGTCACGTGCAGGGCTCCAGCCACAGCACATAACTGCACTTCTAGAGCAAAGAGCTGAGCTGAACATGGCAGCACAGGCTCACACTCCCTCCACACATCAAAACAAACCCCAAATCCAGTTCCTTTTCTTTAGATCGGTGCACTGATGTAGACACACATGACCTGAAGGCCCTGCACAGCCATGAGAACAGTACCTGGTGTGATGCCACTGGCTGTTAGCGTTTTAACTTGGATTTTCACCTTTCCACTTACTGATCTGCTGCTGCAGTGACCAGCTGGAGGTAACAGCAAGGTTTTGCACTTCTGCAGGCTCCAGGCAAGAGGCCAGCCAGTTGCATCATGCTACAAGAATGATGCTTATATCAACACAGGGCTGGCTTCAATCACATTTATCATTTAATCTCTAATAAAACACCTTGTGTTAAGGTGTTTAACCAAAGCTGCTTGGTGATTAATCCTGAAGAATACCATACTTCAACTGATTCATTAATAAATGTTTACAGGTACATATTTTTTTGGCTTCTCAAGGGAAGAAAACATGACCCCAAATATATTAAAATACCAAACTTTTGCCAGTTTTAGTGTGAATTTGTACATCATGATCTTTGAGGACCTGAGCTAACACAAGTTTAGATACCTAGGTAAGTTAGGGGCCAGGCTTATGAATTCTTATTAAAATATTATTACTTTATGTTAGGATGAAAAAGGACTTTTCTACTAGGAAAGCCAATGCAAGACAACAAAAAATGGTGGGTTGCTTTTCCAGGGACAATGAACCCAGTTGGTTGGTGTTTACACCAAAACCACCTCAAGGTAATGCAGCCAATGACAAATTTCAAAGGATTCTTCGAAATCTGGTCCTGACCCAGAGAGCCCCTTCCGCTCATTAGAACTACATGCCAGTGTTGTCTTCAATCGCACAGGTGATTCATTTCTTTCTGATTATTTGTCTTTCCTAATCATAGGTATGTGAATTATCAATTACACTTAGTGGTTAATTGCCCTTCATAAAGATAGCTTTTCTATTTTAAATTAGGCAGTTAATATATTGTAACTAATAGCATCCACTTGTACATTATAAATATATCTTCATTGATTGGAGCAGTGAATGTGAGATTCACTCACGAGTTAATGAAGCAACTGAGTGAAGAAGTGCAGGGAGTACCCAGGGAATAATTATTGTTAATGAATTATGATGTGACCTTCTCAGAACAATGAACAATTGGTGGGACAGTGGGATGACAGCATTCCACATCTGTTATTCGAAACACGGTTTCAGCTGTAGTTACAAAGCAAAGCAGCATAATTTGGATACGTAACAAACTTTAACAGAGTGTGCTGTGGTCAAAAAAAAAAAATCTTATTGTAAATGTAAAACCTATCTGCACACTCCTAGGAAAAAAAACCCATGATTCACGACTGCCTGGAAGCAGAGATTTGTTGAAGAAGAATCTGTATTTTCTCTTCCTAAAGGTCAAAAAAATGGAATAACAGTAACCGCCAGCCTGCACAGACAAAAATATGTGCCCTCACAGGTCAGCCTGGTGAAAGCAAAGACTCGGTTTTCCCATACTACGCATTTAACTTCCTTCTCAGAATTTTAGATGAAAAACAGAGTCACACTTCTGAAAGGCATGACCAAAGGGGAAGCAGTCTGGACGCATCCTGGGCTGCTTCACACCTTCGCGGCCACCAGCAATCACCAACTCAACAAACGAGCTCAGGAAATGCTTAGTTACAGACGAGGTCTACAAAGAGTTAGGTCAAGCTGGTCAGAAAATGAGACTGCTGAAAGATGAAAAGCACTCCCAAAAATATCCTGGAATGCTAAACAAAAGAAAAATCATCAAGAACTCCAGAGAAGACTTATTTCTACAAAAATACCTTTTCAATGAGAAGCCACCTTTTCCTTCAAATTCAGCATCTCCAAAAAGACCCTCTGCTAGCTCTCTGCGAAATCCCTGCACGATACAGTCACATTCACTGTCACACGCATAATTTTACACACACCAGGACGAATCCATCCCTCGATGCCCAGTATGGGACCGTGAGCGGAGCCTGCAGACTCAGAACACATCAGCAAACAATTATCAACTCAGAGCTGAAATAATTTAGGAGAGCTTCTAACAACAGCTCTACGTGGGGTTAATCCTGACTCTGCTCATGTTTACAGCAAAACTCTCCTTCAGTTTTCATGGTTAGGTTTTGCACCAGGAGGAATTAAGAGAGACAGATTGAAAGTCTCGACAGAAATACGATAGACGTGAGATGCTTTGCACAGCGAGGCACTGCTGCTAAACTGGCCAGCATCCCGGGAAACCTCGAGCTACGGAGCTGACCCAGCCACCAGTGTTCACGGGAAACCTCGAGCTACCGAGCTGACCCAGCCACCAGTGTTCACATTTTAAGAAGCAAGTGAACTGCAATTTCTAGTGCCAGCAAGCGTGGGGATGTTAGGAGAAGAATAGAGAATAAAATCTGTAATGTGATGCCTTGTAAGATAAAGAGTTGGGGATTAGATACCTGCAAGTACAGAAGAATGAGGCAACAGCAGATGAAATACACAACACACATTTTATCAAGATCTCCAGCGTATTACAGATATATCAGCATCTGTATTACACACCCAGGAAACCAGCTCAATCAGGGCTTCAGGCGACTTCCATACATCGCAGCTGTGATAAAGAATCCAGCTAGACTGCAGAAGCACCAGAAATCAATCCTGATTAGAGTGCAAGCCGAGCACACGGACAGGCAGCGCTGTGCTCCACGCTGCAGGGATTCTGTAGGGTCCAGGGAGCTGCAGACATCCCGAGGGCACCTCTCACTCCCTGTTCGGGGCCATCAACACGCTCACCGTCAGACAAATCCGCTCCGACTGCTCACACCTCTCCTAATGTCCACGAGCAGGAACAGGGGAACTCGAATTTCACCTGTGTGCAGGGAGCTAGGCATGAAGGTAGAGCAGTTTCTGCCCTTTTGGCGTGTCACAAATGGAAGGTTTGGCTAAAAGCATCTCTGCAGCAAAAGAAACCTGTCGGGGAGGACGGCAGAGTGAGCAGATGAAAAGTCCAACTGCACAGCACTGGCAGAGCAGGCACCGGCTGCCCGGGGAGCTGCCACGGCACACAGGCACTGAAGCAAAGGAATAAGTGAAAAAAGAGACTTCCAAGCCCAAAATTATAAGCGCCCAACTAACACACCAACAGGTGGGTAAGGAGACTTTTTCTAAGCCTTACCAGAGGAGAGATTTAAACTCAAGACGCGCAAACAATCCCTAAATATAGAACTGGGGTACCCACCTGGCTCTATGGGTAAGGAGACTTTTTCTAAGCCTTACCTGAGGAGAGATTTAAACTCAAGACGCCCAAACAATCCCTAAATCTAGAACTGGGGTACCCACCCGGCTCTGGGCACGCCATGAGCACATGTATATTGGGAGAGATGGAAATGAGGTTTTTAATTTCAGCCCCGAGCTGCCCCTCACGCTATGCCAGCTCTTTGAACTGACCTTTACCTCGTTCTGCCAGAGCAGGACACGACGCTGAGTGACAATGTCCCACAATGCAATTACCGTACGTCAGATGAGCCGGTCCCTTACAAATCACCTCGAACTTTACACATCTGCTGGCTGTCAGCATCTGCCAGGTTCACTCACCCGAAAATAATGAAAAAACTCTCATTATTGTTCCATAACAGGTAAAGTGTTAGGACAATTATTAGACATCCTGACTGACCTTGTGCAGACTTAGCCAACCGCCCTTGCCAACCTTTATGGGAAGCCTTTGGGCTTATAAAACACAAAAACTCTTCTTTTAGAAGATGGAAAGGTTGTGACACCAGTAGGAAAAGAAATAGCCCCGGAATCTGAGCTGGAAGCCATCACTCCTTAAATTCACATTGTCCTGCACATGGCAGAAGCAACCAAGGACACAGAATAAGGCTAAAAGTCAGACTTCCCACCTTTGGCCACCCTCTTTTGCAGTTTTGAAGGTTTTTCCTAACACAGGAACAGAAGGAGAGTCCTGCCCATAGCCAGCAGGTCCTGTACAGACAGGCAGGAGGGCAGAAAGCAAAACCCTGGAAGAGGCAACAAACCTGAGCTTGGCGACTGTACAACGCCAACTTCAAAGGGGTTTGGAAGAGCGCTGGTTACGAGACTTCCAGAACTGGCTTTTTATCCTGCTTTGGGTTTTTCTTTTTTTTTCATTTAAAATAAAGCACTTATGCTATTTGACTCTTCTGCATCAGCAGATGCATCCCAGTGGGCTTCAGCGTAAATTTGTCAGCACTCTAGTAACATCTCTGAAACATGGGGAAATAACAGCACCAGAGAGTCATCTACGCGCAACCAAACAATAAAGTAAAGCCAGGACTTGTGCAGGAAT